AGACATTGTATGTAAATATATGTGTATATACGTTCTTCACATCCAGAGAATAAAACAAAACCATTTACATTCAAACAGCAGTGTGAAGTCAATGTGTCAAGACTACCAAAGTTAGATACAGTACAGTATAAACAAAACCTACAGACATAGTCCTCAATACTTTTGTCATACTTTACAACATTTTACCAAGTGTCATCGGGGACATCACAAATCCTTTGGAGAGTCATATGAAAACATTTCACACATAAATACACAACTTAAATGATACACAAGATTTACTACATTTACCAAAAGCCTATGGCGTTTCCACAAATCTGAAATTACTTTCATCAATGATTATGAGGCATTACTACACAATAAATGACTATTTATGGTTACTTTATAGCTTTCCCATTGTACATGAATCACGTGCTGCAAAGCAGTACAGCGTCAACCATACATGCAGATTGTATTGTTTATGTTTAAATGAAGAAACTGTCCTGCAGATATGATATGATAAAACTACAAACTGTATGTTGGATATTAAAGCCTGATCTCACATAGAATCAATACAGAATGAAAACTGAGAACATATGATGCAAAGTGATTGGTTTTGCCTCAAACATTAACCACTTACTAATAATGTTTCTTAAAAATATGCCAATTCATTGTTTAGTGTAGAAATAAGTGCTTTAAGTCACAGCTGTATTGAAGACTGACAATGGAAACATACAACAGTTATCATACATAAATGAATAGCCAGCAATGTAAATGTATTGACCTTTTCATTGGTGGTTATTTCAGATATCCATGAGATTTTTCACAAATGAATCTTATGAAAGAGTTACTACCATTAAAAAGAATAAAACACAGACAGTGGTTGAATGCTTTCATGAGTATACTGTACTCATTTATACTGTATATATAAATCATGCATACGCACACTCACACTTGTCCCCTTTGCAGAAATGTTAGATTTATAAAATATTTACATTGACTGATAGTGACGTGTGTTCCCAGCATTATGGAAAATGTGTTAAAATGATTTACAGTGAAGAGAAAAAAGACAAAAAAAAAAAAAGAAACAAACGTTCAAAGAAGGTTCTGTGATGTGAATGAGAACACACATTTCTCAGTAAATGCTTTCAAACTGTTTTATCAGTACACATTTTTACAATTTTTAGTGTTTTGTGGTGTAAAATGTGACAAGTTTATCATGTATACTTCTTAATAAGGCTGTGTGCAGACTAGCATTAGCACTGTGCTAAAGCCGAGGGCTCTTTCCAAAAAATAAAATCATATACCTTAACCCTTAATGTCTTCTTTATACCTCACTCTCGGGGAATAAAATACTTTTAGCCTTTAAATAAATTCCAAAAAGAAAAGTAAATTGTGCGTTTTCATCCCTGGTCACAAAATATTGACATTCTATCAGATGTCACTGGTGTCCCATACAGAAATAATAGTAGTAAATAGTAAAACTACCAGGCATAGGAAGGGACCATGGTTTGTAAATTCATAACCCTGCATGTATAAAAAATGCTCTAAACCAGTGTGGTTAAATACAACACCAAGAGCTTCTCTACAAGTGTCAATATGTGATGATTTGGGGACAAGAGACCCCTTAAACTAGGTGTGTTGTAGTACCACAAGCTTGTAAGTATTGGAGACTCCAGAGGTTTTGACAAAACATCAGTATTTCATCCCTGGGAATAAGAGTAGGCTAAATTAATGCATGCATTTTTATCCACTAATCAATATAAAGATTTGGTTCACTGAGGTAAGAAGGGTTTTGCCCCAGGTGGATTCATATCAAAGTAACTGAGAAAGCACCAGTCAGACCTAAAACAAACAGGCAGTGGAAGTTTTGGAGATTTGTATAATTTGCTCATGCATGAAAATAAGGAACGCTATTCCTTGACACTTCACACTCACAATGCTTCTCCTCTTTTGCCATTTTTAGTTTCTTCAGTGTAGCAGGACAGGTTAGTGGACATTAATGTTGCTTGCTTCATTTGCATCACGATTTTGCCTGCTTCTATTGCACTTTCCATTTTTTATGTGCAAACTGATTATAAGATCACTAAACTCAAACGTTCATACTGGCCTTAAGATATTGTTTCGTAGCATGACTATCCTGTAAAAAGACAGGGACAAAATGCAAAAAGTAATCCCACCTATATCAGGATTTAGCGGCCTGAAGTTTCTTACAAATCGGTAAGCTTTTTAGTACAGATAGTACACTTGCTAACATTTAGATACAGATTCAGTTTAGGTAGAAAAGAATAATGTGTACTGGCTTCAAAGAAGATGGAAGTGAATCTACCGTAATTTCTAACGGTTGCACTATAAAGAAACAGAAACATGGCTTTGTTCATTACACAAGAGGAATTAAATCTTTCTCCTCTTTCATGCGAACATTAATAATTGTGGTCTTCTTCAATTTGATTTAATTTTCTTCCTACTACGGTACTGGAAAAAGCAGCACGTCATCCAATTAACTTCCTGTATTATGTCTGAAAACTGAGTACTGTTGACATCTTAATTATTTTTAAATGCTTTATGAGGGGTAAGGATAAAGACAGCAGTAAAAGTAAATGTGATGTGTGCTTAAAGGAGCCAAGTCTTTAAATAAATGCTGCATTTCATTTGCCTTGGAAGTTGCACATCAGAGTGGGGTGTGATGTCACTCCTGAGCCGGGTGCGTCCTAGTGGCGTTCTGCTCCTTCGCAAGGTAGAGCCATTCATGCATGACTAGCAATATAGCGCTTTGCTTATTTTATAAGCTGGAAAACACCACTGCTGCATGTTCACACACAAAACGTGGTCAATGCTCTGAATATGGCTTATTCAGCAATATAAGCTTTACAGATTACATGCACTGCTATACTGGATTGTAAAATCGTTGTTGGTGGGAATTCTCCAACCTTCCGAATTGGAAGTCAGATTTGAGGGGGGTGTTCCAGTTAAAAAACAAAAAACAAACTTTTGGTTGGGAAAATTCCAAGTTCAAATAAAACACACCATTGGCTGTCAACATTCAAATGTGGCTTCTCTTTGATAATATTCTGTAAACATTGCAACCATGTGGCCTAACTGATGCACACGTTAGTAAGGATCACTTGAGCAGGTGCAAACATCTTGACTAGAAATGAAGAGCGTGAGCTAGTGGTGCGAACCAAAATCGCCTGCATGAACTGCACACACAGGAACAAACACTGAAACAAAGAAAGGTTTTCTGTGCTGCTGGCAAGTTATATCAGTATTTAATTTTGAAAATAAAAAAAACAAACATGTAACATATAAACCTTTCATAAATACTGTATGATATTTAATCCATTTTCATTTAATAAACAAGAATATGTTGATAAATTAAGTTTAACATGTGAAAGATACAGATATGTTTAATACTTCAATATGCACATGTTAGACGTCCTATCTGATTCATTATTGATAATGAAAAAAATAAATGAGGCAGGCAAGATTTCTTGGTTTGGCACTAACTGTGTCAAAAGAATTTACAGTGTAACCAAAGGCCTTTTGTGCACAACATGAACCCGGGAGGATAATCAAGCAGTCAGTAATTATTGATTTAAAAATGATTTAGTCAGGCTGAAAGATCTGAAAGCATCGTAGTCCAAGTAAAGCAGTTCAGATGCAAATTGTAGACAAAGCACAGCGCAGGAGTAGCTGTATCAAGCTCACCGTACAGTACAGTTAAAGGACCTGTGTTGGTGTGGATAAGAAGTCATAATTTCCTTCAGATGCATGACAGCCCGGATGGACAATCCTTTTTCCCCCTCACTCGTTTTCCTCTATGTATCTATGGGAAGTGGCCAGTTTTCCTGGATGGCGAGCTCCAAGCATGTGGCAGATTTTAAGGGTGATGGTGGGATGGACAGAGTCTGAGAGCACTGTTTGTGTCAGGCGAAGGGGCTGTCTGACTTGAGTATGGAGGCATCTGAGTCGTGGCAGCCTTTGCCGTTCATGTGTTCCGAGTGACCGTCGATGCTGTAGCAGCCCTGTACCTCAGTGATGGAGGAAGCTGTGTAGGAAGCTGAGCGCAGGGCATCCGAGTGGTTTCCTATGCTGCTGCCAAACTGGATATGATACTGGTTCCAGTGCCGCCTCAGAACAGCTTGGACCTGACCAGAAGGATCATATATCAGATATTAGCTGACAGGAAAGCTTTCAAAGGTGATATAAAGCCTGAGAGTTCAAGTGATAAGCCCAAAGTAATTTTGCATAAGATGGCAGAACAAAATACACAAATAAATATTTAGATGTTTTTTTTTTTTTTTGCTTCGGTTTTTGGTTTATTTTTTGGCACCAGCTTCTCCATGCACATCTGTGAAAAGTCTAGGGTGACTTTCTGACAATTACACTTTTGTAAAATCTTAGCACAACATTGGTAAACAACAGTTAACAGAATTCTTTTAACCTTCAAGGGCCGGTATCCTGAAACTTTTACAGCAGTGTTCCTGCTGCAACACACCTGAATAAAATTTGTAGGTCATTAGCAGGACTTGACTGTATGCCAAGGTGGCAACCCCCAACCCTACTCAAGTATATTTTAATAAAAGTGTAAGTTTAAAAAAATAATAATTCTAAAACTACTTTTATTGCACAGTGTTCATTCACTCTGAAGCTGCTGTAACACAAATCAGATGGCT